CGTAAAGGTTAAAATTGTCTTAAAATAGCCACCCCCCCCAAAAAAAGGATAATTATCCATTCAGTCTTTTGTAAATGTTGTATAGAACTAAACGTTTCGAAACTAAATACCTGAAAAAAAATGGCGTTAGATGGATCAAACCACAGGTATATAATGAATAAAACCATACATCCTCATCTTGGTTACATCTGTATTCCGATTACAATTATTGGTTTGTGTATACATGTATTAACAAAGCTTCAACGAATTGCTAGATAGTGGTTCGCTAACTTGCAATTTTTTTCATTATAGTACAGAATAATTGTACGCTCTGTTGTTTATAAAATTTAGAAATACAAATGAAATTTGTGGAGTAGTCATCGGACGAAGGGTTAATTTAAGAATGTAGTTTCAGCGTCTTTGACGGCAAGTAATTGAATGCTAACACATATTCGTTTTCTATCGGCATGCATCTAAATCTTGAACAAATAAGCGTTAACCAATTTATACAGTTTCTAAAGTATAAACTCTGGTCGCGGGTAAGAAAATTATTTACCCTCGTCAGGACACATGTTAAATATAAACGGATATGTACGCTCTACTAATGTTTTAAAAAATCCCCCGTCAAAATATAACTTCGCAATTAACTATCGTAAGAAGTGTACTATTAACTTCTGACCAGACATTCATTTCTTAAATGTCTTCATTTTTTATCATTATTATTATTATCATCATTGTTTTTTTGTTTTTTTCATATCATTATTATTATTAGGGAAAGCATGGTAGAGCAGACGATTACAGGAAAGTAATCCTGTTCATGATCATAAAATTAGTGGAAACTGATAGTCAAGAGGCTAAACTTCATAAGTGAAAGAACACCATATAACATTTGAGTCCTATCCTTTCTTTTTATTAATTCTGTACAATACCATATTTAATGTTCTTTTCTGTACTAGTAAATTGCGTAACGCCACAAGTTAAAGTGCCTTTTTACTCAACATGAAGCCGGAACTATTTCCGTTTTTGGTTTGGACGGAAGAGTACAACGGAAATAAGTCGCATGAGCGGAAGTAGATAGTTGTGTTTAGGTCCGAGTCTTAAGTTTTGAACTCCAGAAGTTCAGTTTGACTTTAACCATGAAATTTATATTAACTTGAGATTTTTTGAAACCGTGTTATTCGATTGATGAATTATTAAATGCATCAGTTGTGAAACTGATCCAAATAAACTAAGCAGTTAGAAATATTTTCTAAAAGTTTAACCATATGCCTTGTTTAATAAATATTTACATGTTTATAGACGTAATGTAAGTGGTATGTGCTGATAATGCTTATATCAATTTTCCATCAGCACTTTGCGCAAGTGTTATTGAGTCTTGCTTTGTTTAACCTTTAAGTGATGCTGAAATTGTTATTTTTCAATTAATGATTTTACTGCCTCTCACACTTATACAAATTTAAATTGCGTATTTTACTTATGAAATTAATTGTTGGTATTAAACTAGTTTTAACATTTTGCTGTGATTACCTTAGATTTGTTTCTGCCGAGTTCTACCGATAGCCATGTCTAGCCCAAAAAAGGAAGATCTCCCTGCCGTTCCCTCAGCCATGAAGGACGAACTTGCCAATTTTGACTCTGGAAAAATGAAACACGCACATACAGTAGAGAAGAAAGTTCTCCCATCTACTGAAGGTGACAATTTTTAGTAAAACTTGTATATAGGAAAATATGTTGATTAGTGGTTATTCTAGACCAGCGTTTCTCAACCAGCGGTCCGGCATAGGTCCGTCACATTCATCTTACGGTCAGTGAGATTTTACAAAAAAAACAAAAAAAACTGTATTCACATAAGTTAATGGTTTTTCGTTATATCCAACCAATTGAGTAAAACGGCGAACCTATTATTTGTAGTTAGGTTTAAAATGTTATTTTTAGCCACTGTATAGCGGTTCATAGAATGAGTTTTTCAAGTACAAACTTTTAACTCGTAGTTCCGTCATCTCTTGACCAACTTGATATATAATTACAGTTTTGGACTCTGAAGTCAAACCCTCGATTGATGTATTTGATCACACCCAAGGATTAATTTACTCTAATCCTGCCTAAAAGAATTTCAATTTGAGGGTAGGCTGGTAGAGATCCTGATGAGTAATGAAAATCGAATTTGGTATACGCGTGCCTCACAAAAAATATATCTAATATATGAAAAAAAGAAAAAAAAAGGGAGGTCTCGTAGATTAATCATGCCTAAAATAATTTGAAGAGGCGCTGATATTGAGGATCCATTTCTGCTTAACCCTAGAGGGAAAAAAATGCTATGATTATTTCAATGACAATCTTTTGAATATTAGAAACGGTAGAAATGTCTTTGGAAGATATTTTAAGAGTGAAAAGGTAAGTTTGATTTTAATATTAAAGAATATTTTGAAGCCAATGCTGTCAAAATCAAATTGTAAATAGTTTGCAAAATCAAATCTTAAGATTATCAATCGAACTTTCTAACTTGGGCGTTAATAGTTTCGAACGTTATTATATAGATGGCTTGTTTTTGTTCATCTGTCATAGATATCGGTAGTAATAATGATTAAACATCATAAATAGCCCACAAACAATCCGTTATAACTACTTGTGACTTCTCTAGAAGGAAAATTTAAGGTGGTATGTATACTAACAATTGAATTAAAATTTCTTTTTAAGTACGATTGGCTTTAAATTGGATTTTTCTAGAAAGAAACTTAACCCCTATCGATAATTTAAACTTCATTTTGTTATTTCATTGTTTTACTTTTTTGACAGTAATTATTAAAACTGAAAGGAACAGCTTAATAGCTGAAAACGAGGAGGGGATATTTTAACAGTAACTTTAAAACCATTTTATAGAACCTGAAAACCTGTGTGGACTTGGTAGATAAGCTTAATTATTTCTTGGTCTGTCATTAAGTTCTGAACTCACTTCCGAGTCTTCTGCTATCTTAAGTCGAGCGTTAGTTTACACATTTACTTAATGTCGCAATTGTAATAACACGTAGGCTGCTCCTTCTGCAGTGTCAATATTTGGATCTGTTTGACATTCGGAACTGGCTTTAGACTTTTTAATTCGGCATGTTTTAGTAAGAGCCATTTTACAACTATTTATGAATTGTTAGAAATCGCTTTTTAAAAAGAGAATGTTTGTTTATTAAATGGTAACATGAACCCTCAGCAGGTGTCCTCTAACGGTTGTCAAGCATTTCAACTTCAAATTTGTGTATTTACTTAACTCGACTGTTCAGACTATCTCAATACAGTAAGAACATGTCTCTTTTGACAAGCACTATTACAAACTCGTAAAACTATTTTGGCAAACTTTTGTGCCCATCTGTTTCATCCGATTAAAGTTAAATTTTGTAGTCCATAGTTTTTGCAGCTGGGGTATATTGTAATAAGTGTATTTCAAAAGTTAGTCTCCAATAACTACTTCAAAATGTTTAGAAAATACTCAACTCAAGCATCGTGTTGAAAGAACTGTGAAAAATAACGATATATTTTAATATCTTTCGTTAGTATAGCTTTAGTTTTTGTAGTACACTTGTTTACCCTAACTTGTTGGGAAAATGACGCGTTGAGTATGGATCGAACAGAAAATTCACAGTAAAGATTATTACTGTGAAAGTGCACTTACTACGTAACTTTAAAGTTCAGCAGGCACCAATTACTTGAGTTTAAGTGCAAATATTGGTGAAGGCTATATATTTTGGTTGGACGCTTCTAATATTTGATCGGGTGGGGTAGAGGTTGTAGTATCGTGGTGAACATGTGGCTTAGTGTGGAATATTAAGTTTTAATCCAGTGAGTCAGATATGAAGAGCGAGTTAGGCTAGAGTTAACGAGCGATTCTGTTGGCCATTTAATGAGTAATTAGTGCATGATTAAGCCAGTTTTTTTGTTGCTGTAAATCTTAACTTATGAAATTAGCAATTAAGTGAAGTTTCTGTTCAGATGTTCTTAATATATGGAATTAAGCATATTACTTTGGTTAAACTGTGGAACTTGCAGTCGAAAAAATAAAACGTCTTTAGCGTTATTAAATTCTTTTTATCGAATAAACTCGACAAACAGTGTAAAGTACGAGTTACTACAGACTAAAATCCTGGGCGACACTAATATTAAAAAGTGTTATAGTTTTGTATGACTATACAAGGTTAAACAAATACATCTGTTTTTCGGAATACAAGACGCGCCCTTATTTTGAATACAAAGTTTTTGGGGGAAAAAAGCTACAGTCGCATTTGAAAGATTTTTATTGAAAAAAATTCAATTTGATACTTTAAAAAATTAGTACATATTGTTCTAAACACAAGAGCTCAAAACATCAAAAATAAGAAAATATCGTAAATCAAAAAAAGGTTTACTGTTATTTAGTTTGGTTCAAAATCTTCATTGCTTTTACTGTAATTTATTTTTTTATTATTTAACATTATAAATAGTTATGTTTTTAAAAGAAAAAAAGCTACTATTGTTATAAATAACATTCAATTGAACTAAACTATGCATGCCTATTTAAATATATTTACACATGGCTTATGTATATCGTATATATACATATATATTTTTCATACCTTCGGTGTATAGGATGCAAGCAGAAATTGACATCAAATTTTGGGGTAAAAAAATGCGTTTTATACACCGAAAAATATGGTAATTAATCTCTGTATGGGTTTGGTAGATTTTGGTTGATTGATCTCGTAACCACAATAAAAAATTATAAAATAAATATAAATTATGTCTCTTTCATTCTAGAATGAACACAAATTAATGTTTAGACTAAATAGCTTAAATTTCATAACATTATACATTTATATATATTTATTATTTTTATTATATTGACCTTTCAGCCATGCCTGGCTAACAATACAGAGGTTACAATGACACATATTACCGTATCCAATAACAAAAAACTGACCTTTGGTCTTTACAAAGTAACCTGGCTGTGTTTAGTAGACTACTAATTTGTAAAATACAGTCACAATTAAATTATTACACATTATATATGTATATAGATTATTGCTATTTAGAAATAAGATCTTATAAACTTATTTTTCTTAAATCATAGAGCAGTAAGTAAAGAAGCAAACAATTATCTCTTCTAGTTACGACCTTTGTACTTGGTTGCTGCTTGACGTAGGTTGCTAAGCATTTAAAAACTTTGCAC